CAAAAAGACTAGGAAAATTAGAATGGAATGTAGAATGAGGATCTGCTGTATTCAAACGGGAAAAGACAAGAGAGGTAAAAAGACAGAACAGGTGGCCGGCTGTCAGATTGTAATATCAGATTGGTTTGCCTTTACATTACTGCGAAGAATGCCATTCCACAAGTATGTCTAGAACTGCACAGGTCAAGAAGAAAAAGGTAAAAAAAGCTACAAGCAAAGTCAATGCAATTGAAGGTAATATTACTGATTAATACTCAACAGCTAAAGATGTGTTAAAGAATAAAAACGTGATGACACCAAGCAGCTGTCAGATAGGATCAGAACAGCAGGAGACTTGAAACAATTAATCATATGCAATTAGGTGAATTTTAAGAGAAGCCCAGAGGGGTCAGATGTGCTAAGATGTGGGACAGGCCACAGAGCGCATCTTCAGTCCCAATGAGATCCAGAAAGAAAGAAAAAATAGCCCGAAAGGAAAAGAGAAGGCTGGAGTGGCTTGAGACAGATGCACAACTGGTGACTGAAAATGCAGCACAGGTTGAAAGCGTGTTCCAATGCAAGAAGCAAGCCTGGAGCAGTAGCAAAGACAATAGTGAGGGAAAAGCAACCCTGCAAATGTGGAAATCTAGAATAGCCTAGACAGAGCAGAGAACTGATAAGCCCCCAAGATGTTTAGAGAGAGATTTAGGATAATGTCAAAAGAATCTGAGTCAAAGCAGGCGGGGAAGCACATTGTCAGGAGTTCTGGGCCCAAATGAGACACAGTGAGAGTAAGCATTTACATTAAACTAATTTGTGGAGAGTCATTGACCCCAACAAAATCCTGTTTTATTTACTGTTTATTTTTATGTTTAGGCAAAAAATGGTCTCCTGTGTTTGCTTTTATTTTAAGTTTTGTTTTGTTTTGTTTTGTTTCAGAGGGGAGAAGTTGAAGGGAATATATAGTTTGACTCTCACAAAGATCTTGATCATTTTCATATTCAATACCTTGAGTCTCCTATATGGATGTAAGAGATAGCTGGCACTGTGATGTTTTTCATATGGGAAAACAAATCCTGGCCTAAAAAGCGGCAATGCTGTGAGATGAAAACATCCTATTACTCAGGTTGAAAGGTCATCCAACACCCTAGGTCTAGAAGGGTTTCTTCCCCCTTACTTGGAAACAAGCCCCTTCCCTACTAAAAAACATAACAAACCAGTAATGGTCTTGCAATAACATTAGCCTTATGCTTCTAGCAGTAGCATATTTCTTAGAGAGAGAGACAGAGAGACACACACACACAGAGAGAGAGAGAGAGAGAGAGAGAGAGAGAGAAAGAAAAAGGTACCCTAGGCGGGGGAAGGCTCTGCCTTCCTAAACCACCAGGCATGGCCATTCCCACGCTCCACCCCCAGATCCCTTGTTGTAGGCATTCTGGGGATGGAGTGATGCTTCCTCCAGCACCTACCCTCCCTGTACTGCTGGCTGGAGAGGCTGAAGCCACCCGGCTTCCTCCCTCTACAGTGCTTCGGGGCCCGAGAAGGCTGGGGCACATGCATGGGCCTCCTCCCTGCCCTAGTGGTTCAGGAGCTGGGGAGGATCCTCGGTGCTCTGGGGGCCATGGAGGTCCACCTGCATGGACCTTCTTGCATCTCTTCTCCTCTGTGTGTGTGTGTGTGTGTGTGCGCGCGCGCGTGCATGATCGACTCATTGCCCTGTGGCGGGGGGAGGGAGAGGAGTTTAGGTGGAGTTGGGGGCTTGCCTCCCCCAAGCTGCACCAAGCACCCAGAAGGAGAAGGAAAAGGAAAAAAGGCTAAGGAAAAGGAAAAAGAAATCTACAGTGTATCATTTAAAAATTCATAGGCAGCTAATATAGCACATTTCTTAGCCTAGGTTGCACTGGGCTACAACCCAGTTTCCTTATGCTCCAAATTAAGAAAGGGAAAAATAGATAAAACATTTTTTGTTGACCAAGTGCTAAACATTTTCCCTCCATAAGCAAATTTCTCTGGACTAAATATGGGATTGCTGATAATACCTCTGAATCATCATCTCCTTTCCCTGAATCAAAACATCACGTAGATGATGTAGTGTTTACAGCACTGACACTTTAAGTGGCCTGGCTCTCTTCCCTTCTAAATCACAGTGTCATGTTCAGGAGGCCAGTTTTGTAAACAAAGTTAGCCAATTCCAGTAATCAGTATCAAGGTGATGATAGTCACTCATTCACTCTCTTCTCCAACAGACCAGAAACAGTTGATCAACTAAATCCTATCCAAGTAGTGTTTGATTCAGCACATGAAAATACAATTAGGTCACAGTTATTTTTTCTTAACCCTGGAAACCACACATGCATATGTAAAATCATTTAAACTAGACACACCCTTCCAGATTTAACATTTGGAAACACTTCTAAGCCTATTACAAGTCCTAAGGAATACATTTGCAAACTAAATAATGCATGTCCTAACTTTCTTGTTAGTCACACTGGCAAAATAATGAGTTCTATTTATCAAACACTATCTGTCAATTATAGCCCTCACGTTGTTTACAGCATATCTTGTGATTTACTGTAGGAAAATATTGATTGCCTTAATGACCATGGAAAATTCTGCTGAATTTCATAAAACATTACTGTGGGGACTGGCAAATCAAAACACATAAAAGTAGCCTTCTTGCTTATCTTAGCCATCTGAAAAGTTTCATACAGCTAAAAACTATTTGATGTCATGTCAAAATGGCTCTATAAGCTTTCCTGAAGCAGCAAGTTATTTAAACATGTACCCTGTGCTATGCTAATACATAACACCTAATTAAGCAATTTGGCAACTCCAACTGGCAGGCACAACACTGGCATAGTATACTTATAGAGCAGGGTACGGAAAAGATCTAAAAATGAAGGATATGGCATGCTGCTTACTGTGCTTGATATTTCTAGGTTGCTCATCACAGTGGTATCTAATGCTGTAGCTTCTGAGACCAATGAAGGCATTGTAATGCCAGCTTGCAGATAGAGGCCCTTTATCATGTTTGATAGTAAAATGAAGACATCACCTATAAAAAATTGAAGCAATGGTCATTTAACACCCCTAGAGCCATCTGGGTTGTGCCCGCGAATTCTTATGATACCATCTACATTTTTAATTAGTCTCTAACATGCTGCAGGACTGTTCGTTGTTTTTTTACGTACTCTCTATTACAGACTAACACGGCTACCCCTCTGAAACTTCTGTACTGTGGTTTCTCTCTTCCCCACTCCCTCAAAATCTCAGACAACAGACTGCGTCAGTAAACAACTCAGTTATATTCCAGTCAGCATCAGGCGGCACTTTTCACAGTCATTTGAATGAAGGAAGTTAAATCAAGTTACCTATTTTCTGTTATCAAAATTAGTCTATTACCACAGGAGCTTTAACTATAGGAAATGGGGGAGCAGCAGTATTTCTGCCCCATATTCACTCATCCTGAAATAGTAAAAGGCAATAGAGATGAGTCATCTCTATGGGTGACAGAACTGCTAAAACAGAAAGAGTACTGGATACAAAGCTCAAGAGATTAAAAAAGAAATACCGTGTAGAACACTAAGGGATGGTGACAGACTATGAAAATGGAACATAAATCCTTTCTAATCAGAAACTCATTTTGTTTCCTTAAATTACATTGTTTCACGTCAGTGATTAATAGATTATTTAAATGTTTTCATTTTTAGATTTTACCTATTTATATACAATTTTATTATTTTACCTATGCTAAGTAATTAGTAAGCAATAAGCTAGAAAATAATGTTTAATTATTTAGGACTTTAGTCAGCACCTACTGTAGTCAACTGGAGTTTTGCATGGACTTCGCTGGGAGCAAGAGAAGACCAACAGTATACCATTACCAAAGAGAAAAAACACGAGCTATGATTATTTGATGGATCACCACAGAAAAATTCATGTTAAATACTCATGCTAAGGTGTAGAGCCCCCAGTATGCAAACTGCATAATGGTGCTGTGTGTACAGATCACCAAAAGATAGCTCTTTAAATGTTCATTTGTTTGCTTTTAGTTCTATTGCTGTACCAAAGCAAAACAGTTTCAGAACTAACAATGTAATGTTTTATCAGTACAATAGATGCAGGCATTTATATGTGTTAATGATATTATTCATTAGGAAAAAAAGGCAAGGAAATGACATACGCCCTCAAATAAAAATATTAAAATTAAAAAACAGCCTTTGGTTCATTTAAATAGCAACTGTTTGTTTATAATGTCAGGAGAAGCAATCAGCAAAACTCCACTTTGTATAGTTAGGTGCATTAAGGTATATCTATAGTGCACTTAAAAGCCCATGGCTGACCTGTACCAGCTGACACAAGCTCACTGTTTAATGTCAGGGCTGTTTAACTGCAGCATAGACATTAAGAGTCTGGCTGGAGCCTGGGACCAGGATCCTGTGAGGTGGAAGGTCCCAGAGGTCAGGCTGCAACTCAAGCCAGAACCACTACACTGCAATTAAGCAGTCCCTTAGCTCAAGCTGGGGTCAGTTGGTACCAGCTAGCCATGGAGTCTAACTGCAGTGTAGACATATCCATGGCATGGGCAAAATACCCACTGCGGTATCCAGCCTGCCAAGCTGCTGGATCCAGCTCATGGACACAGCAAGGAGCCTCAGGCAGAGGCCTTGCTTTTCCCACCCTGGCACCCTGCTGAGAGAAACTGATGCAGGGCTGTTTGAACAGCTGTGAGGCCTGGGGAGCAAAGACACACTTCATGCACTGCTCCCGCCTCCAGCACAATGCCAAGGGCTGGTTTTCTGCCAATGGGAGCTGCCTGTTGTCAGCAGGCAGCTTATGAAGCACACACCCTCCTCCAGCTCAGACTCCTAGCTGTTCAGAAATCACATGGCCTCTGTATCCAGTGCATGGGCAGGGCAGGCAGGGAGTCTGCTGGAGAAGCCAAGCAAGTAAGTCTCCCAGCCACAGCCTGCCACTGGCACCCCAATCCTTTGTCCCCTACCCCATATAACCTAAACTCTCTGCCCCCATATCCTCTCACAGATCCTGCACCCCAATCCCCTGCCCCAGGTCACAACCCAAACTCCTGCACCCCTTCCTGCCCCCAGTCCCCTGCCTCAAGTCACAATCCCCTCCTGCCCTAGATCAAAGCCCAAACCCCTCCACCACCACCACCCTGCACCCTTAACCCAGGTCACAATTGCCTCCTTCACCCAAACTGCAGCAACTGTTAGTTGATAAGGGCACTTCTGCCCCAGGGCTGTTACTACCCTTCAAAAGTGAAAGTGCTGCAGGGAGCACAAGGCCAGTGGGAGACTCATGCAGTCCCCCACTGGCCCCGTGCTCCCCGCAGCATTTTAAAGCGGCAGCGCCGCGTGGAGCCCAGGGTCAGCGAGGGAGTTCCTAGCTGACCGCAGGCTTCATGCAGCTCTGCTACTTTGAAACGCCACTTGCATCCTGGGGCCAGCTTGGGACTCCCATCTGGCCCCGAGCTGCATATGGCATTTCAAAGCAGCAGCACCATGTGAAGCCCAGGGTCTGGCCCCAGGCTTCTTGTGGCGCTGCCACTTTGAAGCACTCCCTCATCTCCCCGCCGCCTCTTTCTGATAGAGGCAGCAAGGGGCGGGGGAGCAACTAGCTGACTAGCATGTCAACTATCTCATAAGCATTTTCTTATTGGATAGTTGACTAGTCCTTCACATCCCTACTCCTGACCACCTTCCAAATTCTTGGAGTGTCTCCCCAGCCAAAATTATTGCTCACCCCCTGCCTTAAAGTCAAGAAGTATTTCTCCAGGCACAATTCTTTCTTCTGTTCTCGCTCACACAAGTCACATGGTCTACACGACAACCTGAAATCCTAATGATCCACTAGGCTTTATTTGAGGAACCTAATGATGATGATGATTGAGGCTTTGAATTTAGAGGACTTTACAGAATGCCCCACAATGATACGGGGCATTACTTTGTTTGCTAGGTTTTGTTTTTACACAAGTAATCATCCTTCTTTACTGTGAAAGAAATTTAAGGAAGAGCTTAACTTTAAATACATGCTTACATGTTTTGCTGAATCAGAGTTTTAGAGAGGTAGACCAAGGGCCCTTCAAACAAACAAATACCCAATAGCTAGCCAAAACTGCTCATTGACTGCAAAACTCTTAAATTCCATATCTGAGTTCATAATACGCCCTGCCTGATGGTGACTAACTCATACAAGGTACAGCAGTCCGCTGCTATTTTTGGTATTGTACAAAAACAAATCCTGCAATTCACATTGTCGCTTTCTCTTAATATACCTGTTTTATATATCTGGCTATCAAGCAAAACAATTTTAAAAAAAACCTTCATTTTAGAATCATCTATATCTATAAACTAATACTAAAATAATTTACTTAAAAGATAAGGTTTATGGTGGAAGGATATATGAGGCAATAAATGTCTTACAGCTCGTTAAACACAGAGGCAAAGCTGAGGCCTTTGATAACTGTAAAATCAGTTTCTAGTGAGGATATTCTAACATCCTCTTAATTTGAACATTCTTATAATACAAGATTAAAAATATATAGACATCTTCATTGTTTCCATCTTGTTATTTCACCTTTGGGAGTTGAATGGAGTCAGTGGGGAACCACTATTTCCTTATTATTTTCTGCTATGCTGATATGGATGATTTGTGGCTTGAGTAAGTAACTCAGCAAGGTTAGGTTTTAAAAGTGCAATTTGTTTGAGGACAAGTGAGTAAATAATTGAGCAAAGGAGTGTCCTGTGTGGAAAAATTTCTGATGTGATTGGAGCCTAAGTATTCTCCTGCATTATATGTCTCTTGAAAAGTTAAGAGATCAGTTTCAGACATGGTGAAAACATGTGCAAATTGTTTAACTTTAAAGAAGCTGCACCCATGCACAATGGATATGAATTTAGTCCTAAATATTCAATTATTCATTTCTTACATGTCAATGTTACATTGTGGGCAGTAAGTGCCTCCTGACGGAAAATTGGTCTGGTAAGTTCAGTAAGTACTTCCGTGCAGTTTTCTGAAGACAGTGATAGTTTCTTTTAGACTGTGACTGGATGAAATTGTTCACTTGTCATAAAACCCTGGATTATGGCCATTTTGATGAAATGAAGGAATGTAGCATACAGGTTGGAAACACTGCATGAATACACTCTCTTGGGTTATTTCACAGCATCCCCAATTTAAAATCAAGTAACCACAAAATGAAAAGCAATGACATAAAAGGTTAATCCAATTTTTTGTACCTTAAAACTAGTTTCTTACTATGTGTTTGTACAATAAGGCCCTGGTTTCAGTTGGGCTCTCTAAGTCACTGGTTCTCAGATTTATTGGATTGTACCTCCCTTTTTTGTGCCAGAAGCCATTTACAAGCCCATACACCCCACTACATATACTGATAAAAAAAAATCAGCATGTGCTCTTACTGAATATTAGAAACAGTAATGCATTGATTCAGGATTGATAGAAAATGGATTTCCATTCCCTTTAAAAAAAATGTGGTTATCCATACGACAGTTTGGTGCGGACATCCCAGGCCCCATGCTTTGGGACGCCCTGCAGCAGCTGCCTCAAACATCCTATGGACTGAGCTCAAGGCAGCCCAGGGGATTGCCTGGGGGCCTGGCATGGGACAGCAGCAGGAGTTCCCTCTCCTTGCCGCCACTGCAGTGGTGGGAGCCAGAGCAACTCAGCAGCCTGCTCCACTTGGCCCTGTTGCCCTCTTCCAGCCCGCTGTGCTCTGCATCCCCACAGCAGCAGGAAGCTTGAGCGCCTTTGCCCTGGTGAAGCAGATTGCAGTGGATTGAGAGAGGGCAGCGGGGCAGAGCTGCTGAGTCTCTCCAGTTCCTGCCACCGCTATGAGGAGTGCAGAGGTGACCCCTGCTGGCATTCCACACCAGGCCCCCGCTAATCCGCTGGCTCATGTTGCTCAGGGGAAGGAACTTCAGGCAAGGGGGCGGAGCAAGGGTGCTTCAGGGTGGGACTTGGGGGAAGGGGTGGAGCAGGGCAGGATGGAGCAGAGGCAGGTTGGGGCCTGCAGTA